CTCTAGTTTTTTTTTTTTTTTTTTTTTTAATAAGGATGTGTGAATTTTTTTGGGATCTTCTGTATTTAAGCAAAAAATATGAGTATTTCAAGTCAACATTTACACTCCAAACCAGCAAAAATCCCAAATTGGCATAAAAAAAAGAAAGAAGGTAAATAGAACTGTAAAGACACTATATTTGACTCACTACTACTACTTTTGACAAATTGTCCGTTTTATCTGTATTTATTAGACACTGGGCCCTTAATAACAAACACAGCTGGGGTCACCCAGTAAGCATTTGTTTGTCTTCTGAGTGACAGCAGACTCAGGTTTTCTGATCTTACCAACATTTACACCCACTTCACACTAAAACCTGACGTTCTTTGCGTGTAATTCCACAAACATCTGCCTTAATGAGTCCCCCCCCCTGCACAAGTCTCCCGCAAACTTGTGATTGACTTGACTATAAAAAGTAGATGAAACTGTAAATCATGAGACATATTGTAAGATGTACTTCTGTCTTCCCGTGCTCCATAATGAAGCAGTCATTATGATTATTTTATAGGTCTGAAGTTTTTAAAAACTACAAGAATGCATTACTCTGCATAATGAACAGATGTTGTGGCAACAAGCACATACATTATGCATAAAAAATTATTTCAATTTTGATTGTAGACGCTGATTTATTGAGACAAGCCTAGCTTACAACAGTAATGGATTTAGGATGTGCTTTTGTTGTGTTATTTCCATAATTAATAATAGGAAAGCAACACATTATATATGCTTTGTATTCATAAAGATAAGAGCGTTTGAGTTATAACAGATAAAATGCCGCTTGCTGAACTTTAGAACAGTCAGGATTAATTAGACGTAAAACTTAAACTTGTCTAAATGACAAATAAGACACAAATTCTCTTAATGTCTTCTTGCTTGTCGTCTGCATTTTGATATGCTGAAGAGAGGAGCACAACAGATGAGATAAGATAAAATAAAGGAAAGGAAAGATAATTATCACAGCATGATGTGCTGTACAGTAACAGAAAGTCATTCTGATCTGTTCGTTATATTTATCTCCAGGATCAAGAGAGAAAAGTCAAAAGCATTCTGAAAAATGAGTCGGAGAGCAGATTAGTTTTACTCCATTATGGTCATTTTGTTGAAAGTTTTATTTAATTAAGTAAACCTAGTTTAAAATATAACGCATCCCTTTTCAAAATTTCAAGTGTTTAGCTCCTGTATTGATGCGTTTGAGGTTCATTTCAAAGATATATCACAAAGTTTGTGTACATTGACTATAGATAATGGATAGTATATCTTATAAAAGAAGAACCGAAGTTTGGTGTCTTGCGTAAAAGCTGAATATACTCAGTTTTTTATTCTATATAGTTTAGAAGCAACTGTTAAGCTTAAATCTGTGTACATTAAATGGAACTTGATAAAAGAAAAATATTTTTAACCACGTACAATGCACTTAAAAAAAGGGAACGTTAATCCAACTTAAATGAAGTAAGTGCTTGAATTGGTAGCAAATAATTAAATTAAGTTTATTAAAGTAAATTTATTTCAATAGTGACCTATTGCGCTTCCTTGAATGGGTTAGGATTTTGATAGGTCTATCGTTTATACAAAACATGCTCATTACATTTTTTTTTGTTGCACAAAATCATTCTTAGATGATGAGATTTTAGTTTTTGCTCAGTTCTAAAATATTTTGAGCTATTTCAGAATGAGCTATTTTAAGGCCTCTTGTTACTTTAAATCCAAATGAGCTGCTGTTGACCACGCCCCCAACTCGATGTTTAATGTGGAAATGGCTGCCAACCGATCCACAATTATGCAATTGTACATCTTTGAAAAGCAGAAGTAGAGCCTCCTTCACTATCAACAAGAATGCATCAAAAAATAAAATATATGTTTTTATAAGGCCATTCTAGGACTTCTTCCAACATATTCGATGGTCTTTATAATAGAAAGTCCACTGGAGCATATTCTCTCTGTTGGGAGAACCTATTACTTCTTGAACTCAGTTGCAGAAATGCATAAACCTAAAGGTTCAGTTTATCAATGTTTTTAAGACTGTATTAAATGTTATACCTGAGGAATCTTTTAATTTATTTATGATGGTGTCAACTTTTTTTTTTCTGGGAATGCTTCGACTTCTTGCAAAGAGATTTTTAATCTCAATGATATTTTTCTGGTGAAATAAAGGACAAATAAATTAAGTGGTTTCTGAATGGTAAATCAACAACAAAACTCATGTCTTTTCCAGCAGCCATTGTGAGCTGTATGTTCTCAGCTTGTGTTGCGAGGAGATGGACTGAGCTTCACTGGGGTTGCTAGGTAAGGGAACAGTTTCTGCCGATTTGTGGCTTTACAGTCTGGAGGTTTTCGAAAGGTTAATTTTTCACACGCCGCAAAACATTAACTTAATGACAAAAACTGGCTATGTGTGTTTGTTTTAAAGTGCTTGGATTGTTTTTAGAAGCAGTAGAAACCCTATTGGAAGTATAATAAAACAAATGCGTCCCCTTTAAGTTCAAACTTCATGTACATTTGGGATTGTTAAAAATGGTTTTCTTAAGGATTGTCCCTGTAAAGTCACTCACTTTCCTAACTAAGCAGCTTACAGGCCAAACAGTTTTATTTGGTTACATCTGAGGTAGACGGGGTTTCCTTCAGAAAACTTGCTAAGCTTGGGGCGCTAGGGCAGTCATCCAGCCGGCCGCCATGTTTTTGAATTAAAAATGTTCAAAGTTGACAGGAAATTTGAAAATATCACTTGACAGTTCTGCATTATTGGAAGACTGGAAGATTAATACCTAATCACCAACTATAAAGTCTTAAAAAAAAGGGAATAATAAAAAAAAAAAACTAAAATAATTAAGCAATGAAAAGCCTGGGGAGGGCACAAGAAAAGCCTGGGGGCCTGCCAGGCTTTTAATACACTGTGGGAAACCCTGGGTAGAGCACTGCCTTGTACATTTCTGCGATGTCTTTCATAGCTTATGGCAAAGGTTATGACTTCTTTGTTTTCTGCTCAGTCTCCCCCCTCAACAGTGGATCTCTTGGCTACTTCTTAGTTTAGTTTAAGTAGATTATCATGTCTCTGCAGGTTTGCAGATGTGCCTTTTTTTTGCATCCTTCCATTTTCAGATGGGCAGTTTTGTGAGATGTAAGAAACTCGTGTTAATGACTTATAGGAAAGCTCTACCTCTGATCTGTCTGCTGTGTTACTTGGTATTCATAATGCATTTTGTTCACTAATTTGCTCAGACTTTCCAGACTTTTTCTTGTAAAGAATTTTTAAATTGCATAAAAATGAATCCTTCCACTTCATATTTATGTGCTGCTTTGTGTTAATCTTTCACACCAAATCCCAAAAATATATAAAAGATTATGGATGTAACATGATGAAGTGCAAAAAGTTTTGCACAGCCCCTGTGGCAGTGTTAAAAGAACAGTGTTAAAAATGTTAGCATTCACATCAAATATGTTTTTGAAGCATGTCAAAGAAAAGGTTTTGGCTAAAAATACACAATCATAATTAAAATCACAAAACTAACTGGTGTATCCACACAGTGACTGGTTATGAGTGCAATTTCTAATGAAGGTATTACTCTGAAATTATAAATTAATAAGGTATTTGTTGTTTCCAAGCTTTTAACCCGAGCTGCACCAGCAATGAATTCAAATCACCTGAATATTAAAGTAAAAGGCTCTGAATGGTGATGTGAATGTAAATGACTGAGATGTGTGTGTGTGTGTGTGTTGTTTTTAAGTCTTTTGTAAACATCTTTGTCTGGCTCTTCACCCTCGAAGGACTGCAAAGCCACACAGTGTGACCCTGTTTGGGGCAGACACGTCCGCTTTGCCTCTGCTGGACGCTCCGTTGCAGATGTCTGCTCAGCAGAGTAGAACCTTGTGGAACAAGTCCAAGGCCTGGTACACGAGGAACTACATGGAGTGGGACGGAGTTTGGCTCCTCACATTAGAATTAATGATTTGAAGACACATAGTCGGTGAATAATTGATTCCAGCCCCCAGGATGGTTAGGAGCTGAGTAAAAGACTAATAAATCATTTGTGGTGCTGCCAGTTGTCGCTTTCAATTATTTCTGGGTTTGTGATAAACTTCTGCACCTGCCAGCTGCTGGTCCCACAATTCCTTGGAGCAGAAAAGAGGCAAGTTTACCCGAACTTTGCTCTCGGCCATGATGCAAACAGCTGCCCTGTAGCAAGCATGGAGGGACAACCAAAGATAAACATTTTCTTTCCTTTTTTTTTTAATCGTATTTTGAATTTCTCCCATACTTTTATCTTAATCCCCTCTCTTAATGAGAAAGTTGGGATCAATAAAGCCCCCAAAATTGTGACCTTCAATGAATATTTCCTGCTTTTCAAATATGCAAAATTAGGCATACAATTCCTTAGTGTTTTTGTAATTTAGTTACATTAAAACCGCAAAATGTTTTGTTTTGTCACAGAGCCAGACAAAGGTGTCCATAGTTGTGAATTGTAAAGAAAAAGGACACATAATTTTCAAAATTGTTCTGCTAATGAGTCTAAGACATGTCATGTCTTTGTGTTCAGCCCTTATTACTCCACTGTTCACAAATAAAATCAGTGCAATTAACTGCCCTCATAAATCAACTATGTGTGTATTTTAATGCCAGTATAAATACAGCTGCTCTGTGAAGACCCCCAGAGGTTCGTCAGAGAATATTAGTAAAAATGTTGGCTAAAATTCACACATGCTTGTGTGAAAAACTGCCACTTTTATTAGTTCAAACACCAAGTTTACTTTAATATTCATTAATATGCACAGTGGAACACACTTATGCATGAACACAGTAGCTAATATCTTTATCTCTTTGAGGTATATTCACTATACAGTTGAACATTATTCATCTACGAAATAAAGTCCCAATGAAAGCATTAAAGTTTGTGTTTGCAACATGACAAAATGTGGGAATGTTTAGATGAGGTGCGATGATGTTTTTGAAAGGCACTGTAAGCTGTCCAAATAATAACTTTCGTCCTTGCTGACTGACAACCCGATGCATAGCTGTAGATTTGATTGTGCAATTTTAGGAGGCTGCTGTAGTAAAACGTGATAATTCTCAAATAAATAAATAAATAAAGTAAAATATGTCAGGTCCTCTTGCATCTGATGAGCATAAATCATACTGATTAAGGCTGTTGTACATTTTTACTTCCTGTTTATTTGACTATAACAGCTTGAATGTTGTAACGTTGTGGGACTGCATCTCTAGGTGTAAAGATGTCTTTTTAATGCAGTGCGGCGGCGACACTTTGCCGTCATTAACATATGCGAGAGTTGTCAAAAAATGCGAGATATTTTGTCACGTGTTTATGTGAGCCTAATGCAAAATGCACTACAAAGGAAGACCTTGTCAAGTCAATAATTACTGAGTTATGAATGGCATTTCTCTTGCATAAGTAAACCAGGTATAACGCACAGTTCACGGCTCTTTTGAAGACTTTTGAAACATCACCACAAACAAAAGGGGGTTTTATTCTGAGGGGAATTCAATCAACACAGATTCCTCAGATTTCTATTAGCCTCTCCACATGGTGCTAATACAATCCTGCAGCCATCAATGATGTTAAATTACAGATATCAGTTATTTAGGAGCATCTTTAATTCAAATCCATTCATTCATTATGTGAAGCATTTTCCTAGTCTTGCCAATTTTCCTGAAGTAGTTGCTGCAATAATTACTGCATATGGAAACAAAACACAACTATATATTATGCTCTAAAGGTTATCTTGGCATACACTTATTTTCAGTTTGTTTTACCACAATTGCTGAAGGACAACATTTAAAACATTCAAATAATAAGTAGAGAACATTTGTACTGTATGTCAAAACTGCTCAATACAATGGACAGTTTTCTTTTCATTTCACAATTTTTCGTGGTAGTCTGTCAAATGAAATCACATTCAAGCTTATGTTAAATTACACTCAAGCTTATGTTCCTAACATAAAAAATGTGAAGAAGTTGATTGTGCTTTATGTATTCATCATATTTCTAGAAACTTTAACTTGGCAGCTGCTTTTCAGTTTATTTCCAAGGCTGGAACCTGAAAATAAGGAAATTTGCTGGCATGCCCTGAACTCACAAGGTCACAGATCTGCTTTATTTTTGGGTCATAAAAATAAAAATATGTGTAAATCAACTAAATATGTTAAGATGCATAAATTAAAAAGGCATCTGAGAATTATCACCAAAATGAGTAACTCTTTTGGTGATGAGAGTTGTTGACAGTTACAGATAATGTAACTGTTGAAATGTTTTTCCAAACACTGATCAGGTTATCTCACTCCACAAGAAGTTTCTGGCCCTAGTTTTCACATCTGATAGTCCAGTAGACTCAGTTCGATTGGGGACCAAAATTACAACCTTAGTTACATTTTCAGCTGGTTGGGATCGCTTTCACACTCTGTGTCAAACGAACCAAACCATCTGTAAAACGTGCTCCTCCTCTCACCTGCAGTCGCGCTGCACCAAGAACCACTGAAGGAAACAATTTGAAAACCTGTGAAGACGACACTGAGCTCAATTTTCTCCTTCACAAAATGTGAACAAAAATGAAGTGGTGTCAGGTTGTAGGATTTCTCTTTTATCTTTGGCAAAAGGCCAAAGGTCATTTCTCTTGCTAGCAATGGATTCTCTTGGAATTGTTGGTTGTTTTTACCCAGAATGCTCTGTCCTTTAGTCCTCTTCCTGCTTTTGGAGCGGTCTCCGGTCCACTTGCATTCACATATGCAGTTGAACCATGTCAGATTTTGTTTGAACCGAATCAAGATCTAGGTTTTTAAACATATCAGAGTTCAAATAGGGATTCACAGCTCCCCAAATGTACCGGACCAGTTACTCTGTCCTCTTGAGTTCTCTTTTACTTTTGTGATCTTAATTTCTTGGATAGTTACGTTTTACTTTTACTTGAGTAAAATATGTTGCAGTAAAGCTTTCTGGAGGACCATTTTTGGGTGCTCTACCCACCTCTAATCGTGGTGCAAAATGAGTTTCCAACAGCTTTTGTGGGTAAGCAGAAATCCATCTTCCTCACCTCTTTACTTTCACAAAGCAAATCCACATTTCCTGAATACATGATCTTTGTAGCAAAATCACTCACTTTATCACCAAGAAGAAGCCAAACATCCATTGGACATATTACTGTCAAAAACAAATAACATGTGTTTGGTCCAAAAAACAATTCATTCTCTTTTTATAGCCACAGTGACGGACGTCATCATTCACACTAGGAAGGCATATCCAGTTTTCAGAGCATATCTCAAAGAGCTTATTTGTTATTGGGAAATGCATGTTGTAAAATAATTTATTTCCTTAGAAAACTAAGCAAATGGAGAGGCCATTTTTTGTATGTTGATATTTCAAGAACTTTTGGTTTTCTATTTCCCAAGCTTAATTTTTGGCCTTTTATCCTATATAACACTGCTTCACTGCTGATTTTTAAAAGCATGGAAAATAATTTAGTGACAACAAAGCAACGTAAATTGTAAAGTAATGGTATAAAATGTTTTTTCTAGCAAAAGTAATTTTTTTGGGAAAAAAAAATCTCCACTTCTGTCTTTCCAAAAGATGTTACGGTCAAAAAAAAAAAAAAAAAAATCACTTTTGGCAAAAATAACTTTTAGGAAGGTGATGAGATGTACTGAGCAGCATCATACAATGGAAATAGAAATGGTAAAAATTCAGAGTAAGTCCTGCTTCATAGACATGCTATGACAATGAGAGATAAAAGCGTCCCAAATGAGAACACAATTCTGTACAGCGGCAAATAATCACTTTCAACTGTTGTGTTGAATCTCCTGCTAAGTAATTGCTACTTGCGTTGCACAATTTAGATATAATATTTCATTTGACAGCTGATGCAGAGCTTGGAAGCATTAAGTAGACAGTAGTGGAGTGTGGTCCATCTGTGACTGGGTGGGAGGGGGATGAGCGAGCCCCTCAGGGCCGCCAAGCAATTCAAACAGCATTAGCAAGAGGTGTCCCTGCCTTTACCGCAGCTTTCATGCCTCACTCCTCTTCCAACGCAAATAAGAGGCAACACAAGTTATCCATTTGAGATATTGACTCGATATGGAGATAAAATCTGCACTTATGAGTCACAGTAAGGAAAAAGATCAGCGAGGGACTGGGGGCCGATCTGTCTTCTACATTAGTGCAAAGCTGCCACTCGCTGCAGGTGGCATGAAATATTAAGTGTTTTACTAACTTAACCCAGTAGTATGCATTCTGAGGTTAGTGATAATTTTTCTGATCTTGGTAATTATCCTTTTGAGACTCCTTGACGTCTTTAAGAACACAATACTGAAATTGGGTTGAGAGAAATCCACCAAAGTACAGATTTAATCTCCCTTCTTTGTATTTTTGCATTGGTTTTAGGTTTAGCAACAAATGTATCCCATCCAAAGCTTGAAGTTTAAAGATAACCCAGGTTTTGTAAAGTCAATATGTTTTGCCAGGAAGTGGTCACAAGAGTTTATTCAACAAAACTTGTGGGTTAAAAAGAAGGAATAATAACAACCCAGAACCTCTGCAACCTGATCAAGGAGGAATAGTCAAAGATCTCTCTATGTCTATATAACCCAATCCAACATTTTGAAATGTTAGAGAAGACCAAGTCTTGTCATATTGTCAAAAATGACTTATAAAAGTATTAACAGCATCTTGTAAATCTTTTCTAATGGCGCTGCATTGCCACATCATCATCTAACATTGTGTGCAATATTGTAAATGCTAAAGACTGTTTAGCTGCAATATTTGCCAAGTTATTACATTTCAAAGGACATCCAATGTCACTCTGAATGGAAATAACTTGCTTGGTCAGTTGAATTGGCTCCCACTCCCAGTGATGCACAAACTTTATATAGACCTCAGTTAAAAAAAAATACTTGGGCCCACAAAAAGTTTAAGACTTTTAAGACAGTTTTGTTCATTGATGTAGTAAAAAGTTGTCATAGTCAGTTTTGAGTGATTTAGCATTTTGTTATGTGTGAGCTGGGTTATTTTGAAGGGCCATTTTTACTCTCCAGCATAAG